TCCAGGATTCCTTCCTTCTGAAGGCTGAGTACTGCTCTGTCGTATGCGTCATACTTTATCCGTTCTTTTATTGCCGGACGGTGTGTTGCTTCCAGCTTTCAGCCATTGTCAATAATCATGCGGTGAACATGGCTGTCCAAATACGAATCTCTTCAAGTCCTTGCTTTCAGTTATTTCGGGTATGACCGAGAAGCGGAATTGCTGGATCATGTGGTCATTTTACTTTAGTTATTTTGAAGAACCACCATGCTGTTTTCCACAGTGGCTGTCCCACAGGGATTCCAATTCACCACACCCTGACCAATCCTTGTTACTTGCTGGGATTTTTTTTTTTAACTTTTTAAATTTATTTTACAATTAAAGTATGAATTTACTTTGGTACAAAAACATTTTGAAATTCATACATGGTTTCCCCATTACACGTATTTCCATGAGCTTTTCTTTTCTGAAACTTTTTAAATTAATTCGTTTATATTCATTCCCTAAGCATCGTCACAGTATACAAAATGTGATTTCCCATCCAGAATATACTGCATAGTGGCTTAATCATGCATGTTATCATCAATAATTTTCCATTTCTAGTTTCATATATATATATTAATTTCAAGAAAAGCAATTTTCTTTAGTTTTTGTTTTTTGAGAGATTTTTGCTATAGGGTGCATGCACTCACCAGAAAGACAGACAGATAGACAGAAAGTGACAAATCACCCCCAGAGGTTATGGCCACACTGCAGTCCCTTCTCCATTCTCCTCTTGGGATCTTGGGCACGCACGCACACACACCCAGTGTGAGTTTAAGTCACCAGGTTCGGGCCTCAAACCATAGTCAACTACATGGGAGTCCAGCAACATAGCCATTATGCCATCTGCTGGTCCCAAGAAAAGCAGTTTTAACTTTAATAAATCAAAGAAATTCTAAGGAACTTTGCTTAAAACTTAAAGCCAGGAAACAGGTTAGCAATCTGTTCAAATAGTAGCTACATGAACCTATTAACTCATGACAGGACAAAAATCCTTAAAACCGGAAAACAGAGCCTAGAAGAAAATCAGCAATGTTTTAGTCAAAAGTCATAAAATGCTATTTTACCAGTTCAGTCTCATATACTTAATCTACCTTCTGTTGTGGTTCCATCTTCCTAATTAAATTCTGGGATATAATATTCAACTCCAGACTTGTCCCTATGATTAAGTTGGCTATTTTCTTCTAGG